TCTGTATGTATCGAGAAAGAGAAATTAAGATCATGGCTACGTACATGTATCACACACACAGTATGCGTACATGTACACGTGCACAGAGTACATACTTGCACATCCTATACCATGCGTACAGGTACGCATACACTATATACGAAAGTACCCTTATAATATACACAGAAGTACGGTGTACACATTGCATACGTAAAGGCACGCACATACAGTATACATGCATACTACATACATACATGAACCCATAGAGTATATACGTAGACATGCAATATAAATATACATATACATTATGAACACGTGTACCAGTGCGATATACATACTGGTATATATGCAGTGTGAACAAAGGTGCTCTTACAGCCTACTTACAGGTATTTAGAATATATATAATCAAATGTTCAGTATCTCTAGAAATTCATATAATATTTATACATACATTTATATATATATATATATATAAATGTATATATATATAAATGTATATATATATAAATGTATATATATATATATAATGTTATATATATATATATATATATTATATAGTATTATATATATATATATATATATATATATATATATATATATATATATATATATATATATATAATATATGCAATAAGATCACAGTAAACAGGTGATTTCAAAATATGCAAAACAACCACTCTGAAAGAATAGAGAAATTCCAAGCGCTTTCGTGACTACTCACATTATCAAGGAACTATGAAAGTAAAGCATCCAAGGAAGCTATATAAGGGGTCTGGCCAGCACCTCACTATCAGATATATATATATATATATATATTATATATATATATATATATATATATATATATATTATATACAAACGCACACAGTTCACATACATATACAATATACTAAAGTTCACATACAATATAAATATATGCAGAAATAACAAAATCATGCATTGATTTTGAGATTTATAACTTGGTTGACATGTATCATAATAAACAACATTATCACTTCGTCTCTCCATGGAAGCCGCGGTCAGTCCACATAATCCACCTCTCCAATAATCCCATGAGGAGCAGGGCACTGTGAGAGAGAGAACTTTCTCACGTAGCAATAACTCCAGCTTTTCTTGAAAGTAACCTTATAAGCTGTAATTGCTACTGAATTCATAGTGGAAAGCTTGAAGCTTGACGATACCCTGCTCTAGGTCCCTCAGCTAAGACTGGTTAATGTCAATTTTTCTGTGCAACTCAATTTGAGTGATGGAATATTTCAAAGAAATTTGTAACTCTACTATGTACAAGGTATCTGCAGGCACATCATATTTTACTTAAAAAATAAATCTCGAAAATTTACTATATTGCAAAAGTGATTGGGCATCAAGTTTTTAAATTAATTTCTTCTATTCTATTAACACATCAGTTAAATTACAATAATTGATTCCTTGATCAGTACTGATTCTGTCTTCTTTCAGTTCCTTTACCTTGCATGGTGACACTGCAGAAGCCATGCATGGTTATGCATTATTAAAAAAGGTCAGGCATAAATTTTATGGATTCCATCTCGCATAGATTTCTTTTCCATACGTTATAGTGTCGATGAATTAGCCGACATATTCTAATAATATAACATCGTTATGATAGCATGATTATATATTTACAGAGATAATTACGATTAATTCAGACTGACATGCTGTAGTAGCCAGGCTTTAGTCTGGTGATGAGTATAATTTAGCATATCCACAATGAATATAGTTTTTTTTTTTCCAACAAGTCGGCCGTCTCCCACCGAGGCAGGGTGACCCAAAAAAAGAAAGAAAATCCCCAAAAAGAAAATACTTTCATCATTCAACACTTTCACCACACTCGCACATTATCACTTCTTTAGCAGAGGTGCTCAGAATACAACAGCTTAGAAGCATATACGTATAAAGATACACAACATATCCCTCCAAACTGCCAATATCCCAAACCCCTCCTTTAAAGTGCAGGCATTGTACTTCCCATTTCCAGGACTCAAGTCCGACTATATGAATATAACCGGTTTCCCTGAATCCCTTCACTAAATATTACCCTGCTCACACTCCAACAGATCGTCAGGTACCAAGTATAGTTATAGGCAGTAATTATTTCTTTATGCTACGGCATCTTATTAATGAAAAGAATACCATAAATTCGTAGGCGATATTCAAAATTTACTTTTAAAGGGGTGAGATATATTTGTATAAAGTACATTATTTTTAATAATGTATACACAAACGTAATCATCTCAACCCAGTAAGGAAGTTACGGTCCCGAGGATGGATACTGGGTTAACGCGAAACTAGTCGCTTCGGCGGTAAAAGTAAATTAAATCAGAGAAGAATCCATTTTTCTCCTCAGCCATCTTCTTCGCTTTCTTCTCCGCCTCTTCCTCTTCCTACTCCGCCTCTCCTCCTCCTCCTCCTCCTCCTCCTCTCTCTACGTTCGTCAAATTAACACGCCAACTGGCACTCTTTGTTGCTTTTCATCTCTGTTCAGACAAAAACATTCCATAAAACAATTTTTTTTAGTAGAATCTTGGAGCATCACCAAGAAGTTGACGAGCAAAAAATTTCCAGTAGAGACTTGTAACACCATTTACAGAATAGTTTCTGTAAAACAGTCTCAGAACTATGGGCTTTAGTTTAACAAGCGCTGTATAGCCCTTGTGGCTTAGCGCTTCTTTTTGATTATAATAATAATTTAGTTTAACAAATTTCCATTTTTGAAAATTCGTACTTGCCTGAACTCAACAATTTTAACCAGGGAACTGTTGGTGTTGGCATATCATCAGCTCGGAAAAATAATTCATTTCCTATGCGCAAATCACCCTCCAGCTGACAGAAGTCCAGGCCACCTACTGCCTGCCAGCGCTGAGGTGTCAGGTAGATCCACTGAGGGAAATTCGACCTACAACTTTAACAACGAGCGTGTGATTTCCAAATATTTAAGCTTCGACGATATCTCTTCCGCAATCAAACATAATCCGCCTGCTTATATAATTTTATTTTTGACTGTTAACTATACGTAGATACAGTTTAATTCAGGTTAGGTTAACCTAACATAGAACAGCAAATATTTAATTTTTATCTTGACTTAGCCCATTCAGATCCAGAGGCACTGTAACGAGTGAGAAAATGCACATGCTCTTTTGAGAATGGGATGTTGAGAGACTCGTGAAAATAACAAAAAAAGGCACAATACCGTGACTGGAACGATACACAAATAACCCACACATAGAAAAGAGGAGCTTACGACGACGTTTCGGTCCGATTTGGACCATTTATAAGTGTGACTTTGTAAATGGTCCAAGTCGGACCGAAACGTCGTCGTAAGCTCCTCTCTTCTATGTGCGGGTTATTTATGACTCGTGAAAACGAGCGTTGGGAACAAGGACCATACATAGAGCACACAATATGTGTGACTGAATAACTGAGGGACAGTATCTACTTCAGATTCAAATGAATCACATTGGAACTGTTGGGCTTACAAAAAAAAGTCTCTGGGTAACTATGAATTTATCTGGGTTATTGTCTGGAGGTTATCTAGGTTTTCCAGCGTCTTTGTGCTTATCTAAACGTGAGTCCTAACTTTTGGTGTGTACTCAATGACTAACCTAATATACGTAGAGTACAACCTCTTAAATGGACCACTGCTCATTTTTCTGATAGATGTTCTTAGATTTTAAGATAAATTATATTACAGTGCTTAAAGGGTCAGTTCCTCCTACTCCTGCTTTTACTGCTACTTTTACTGCTACTACTACTACTACTACTCATAATAATAATAATAATAACAATAATAATAACTTTACTGCTGCTGCTAACACTGCAACTGCCGCTTTTTATTGTCTTTGTTAATACAATTTCTAATATATTAAAATTTATAAAACAATTGCTACTCTTACACTAAACACTTCTTTTGCAATTGCTGTTAAAAAATTTTTTATGACATCTGTTATTGATCTTGTTGACACTATTATTGCTACTTGCAACTTTTTAATATTAACAATGCTATTCCAACTGATACAGTGGATACAAACATTGGTATTGTTATATTTTTAACATTGTGTTTGGAACTACTGTTGCTAATATAGTGCCATTTCAACTGCCATTGTCAATACTAAGCACACTGGCGCTATTCTCTTTTGAAAATGGCTTGCTATTATATATCACCACACAGGATACGACTTAGGGCAGTCGGCTGGCATCCCAGGTACTTATTGTATGCTAGGTGACCTGGGGCAGTCTCGTCCTGCCCTGGGGTTTTTACAACGAACGATGAAGGTAGTTTTCCGCTTTAGAAGATAACTCACTTTTAACTGTGAATAATCAGTAAAGATAACTCACTTTGAGAAGTATGTAACTCTTGTATTACATCCATGAAGTCATTTCAGGTCCATAGCTTTCACCGATCAAAAGCATCTCCGATATTTTTTCATATTATTCCATGGCAAATATATGCGGAAGACATTCATATATATATATATATATATATATATATATATATATATATATTATATATATATATACAGTATATATATATCACACGTATCACTGAAAAAATTATATCAAGTCACTGTCACTCTAAGCTCGTGCCAAGAGAGTTGGGAGAGGATTGAGATCGTGTGTGTGTGTATGTGTGAGGAGAGGAGAGGGACAAACCATGGGGGAGGGCGAGGGATGACCTACAGGGAAGAGAAAGGGATGAACGATAGGGAGGGGAAAGGGATGAACGATAGGGAGGGGAAAGGGACGAACGATAGGGAGGGGAAAGGGACGAACCATAGGGAGGGGAAAGGGACGAACCATAGGGAGGGGAAAGGGACGAACCATAGGGAGGGAAAAGGGACGAACCATAGGGAGGGGAAAGGGATGAACCATAGGGAGGGGAAAGGGACGAACGATAGGGAGGGGAAAGGGACGAACCATAGGGAGGGGAAAGGGACGAACCATAGGGAGGGAAAAGGGACGAACCATAGGGAGGGGAAAGGGATGAACCATAGGGAGGGACACACCTTGGGAAGGCCCTGGGAGAGGGTAGCAGCAGCGGCCATCACCAGCCACACACACTGGCGAGCCATCCTTCTGCGCTGGCCTTCACCTGCTTACTGACGCATTGAAGTCTCTGTTCACCCACACACGCCACTACTCTTCCTCCTCCCTCGCATACTTCCTCCCTCCCTCTCTCTCCCTCTCTTCCTCCCTCCCTCTCTCTCCCTCTCTGCCTCCCTCCCTCTCTCTCCCTCTCTGCCTCCCTCCTTCCCTTCCTGCCCGTCATTCTGTCTCTCCACTTTACTGCTTGCCTCCCTTCATACTTCCTACCTCATAATTCTCTGCCTTCCTCACTTAATCTCTTTCTGCCTGCCTCCCTGCCTTTATATTTACTTCTCTTTCTCTGTGAGAGATGGAGAATAGAAAAACAAATATGATGGAAAGATGAAGGTAAACACGTCTTTGCTTCCCCATATGCTCGAGGTATTTGCACGAGGATTTTCATCCTTCTCCCCCACAACAGTTGCCTCTGCGCCACTGACCATCTGTCGTTCTCAAAACTAAGATTCTTCATGAATAATGAACGATGGTTCTTCACGAATACTTGACGATAAACTAACAAAATTGTAACTCTATTTGAAAGCTGAATGAAGACTGTTCAGAACGAACTATCGTTATGAATATTGAATGAAGACTTCAATGAGTGACGCCTCTACGCTTGAATATATTCTCATGTGACTGCGTTGTGATGTCACTTAGTGACACTTAAGTGTAACACACATGTGTATTATATAGTCACACGCAGTCATTTAATTACATATATTCTCACAATCCTCTCTTGACCAGTAAATAGTAGAATACGTCTCCGTCGCACCGTCGGGTATGAATCACTAGGAAATTCGACCTAAACTTTAAACGAAGAACACTGACAAACCTACTGCAGCTTCGACGGAGATCCAATCCCAACGCTTAACATGCCCCAACTAGTAAGTTAGTCTTGACTTAGAAACTATACCGTAGATACAGCTTTAATCAGGTTAACCTAACTAAACACCAATATAATTATTTATCATATTTATTCAAGTCCACACTGTCGGCTGACTAAATACTGTCTTTGGGAATGTGTTGAGAGACTCGTAAATTACAAAAAAGGCACATACCTGCCTGGACAACCTAATATTTCCAACTTAAAAACTTCGACGAGTTTCGTCCGACTAGGACCATTTTGTGAACTTTTAAATGCCCTTATGACCGAACGTCCTGTAACTCCTCATCTTCTATGCGCCGTAATTTATGACTCTAGAGAAGCGAGTTCTGGGCCCTAAGGATCATACTAGGACACATTGTATGTGGACTGAATAACTGAGTGACGTTCTTCATTCAGAGAATTATACATTTGGAATGTTGGGCAAACTTGAAAAAAATCTACTGGGTCTAAGAATTTATCTGGTTATAGATCCTGAGGTATCCATGTTTTCAGCTCTTGATGCTACTAAACTTAGTCCTACTTTGCGACATTATCAAGGTCTTAGGCTTCAGATTACTGCTACAGAACCTAACTCTTAAATGGATCCAATCATTTTTCTTGATTATGTTCTTGGATTTTAAGTAATTTCTAGCTTTAAAGGTGATTTGTCCTATATTTTACTGCACTTCTAACTGCATAATCATAACAAAAATATTCTGATGCTGATGCTACACGAATGAATGACGGCCTTTTTTGTGTTCGAAACTTTATGTACTTATATGACTCAAAATACCTGTTTAGTGATTTGGAACACAGGGTGCAACACGTTAGTATCTTTATTCAACCGTTCGCATCACAGCTTGATTCATCGATATCAGAAAAGTGTAGGCGAAGATGCTTGAAGACGATGTAATCAGTCCATCACCTTAAAGTTTTCAGGTGGTCAGTCCTCAGTCTGGAGAAGAGCATTGTTCCATAGTCAGACTATGGAACAATACTCTTCTCCAGACTGAGGGACTGACCACCTGAAAACATTAAGGGTGATGGACTGATTACATCGTCTTCAAGTCTCTTCTGCTCCTATCAACTTTTCTGTACTCGACTGAAGAAGCCTACTGTGTAGGCGAAACGTTTCGAAATAAAGATACCTAACTGTTGCATATATGTCTTACCTAACAACACAATTTTTAATATATTAAAATTTATAAAACAATTGCTACTCTTACACTAAACACTTCTTTTGCAATTGCTATTATAAAATTTTTTATGACTGTTATTGATCTTGTTGACACTATTATTGCTACTGCAACTTTTTGATATTAACAATGTTATTCCAACTGATACAGTGGATACAAACATTGGTATTGTTATATTTTTAACATTATGTTTGGAACTACTGTTGCTAATTTAGTGCCATTTCAACTGCCATTGTCAATACTAAGCAGACTGGCGCTATTCTCTTTTGAAAATGGCTTGCTATTATATATCACCACACAAGATACGACTTAGGGCAGTCGGCTGGCATCCCAGGTACTTATTGTATGCTAGGTGACCTGGGGCAGTCTCGTTCTGCCCTGGGGTTTTTTTACAACGAACGATGAAGGTAGTTTTCCGCTTTAGAAGATAACTCACTTTTAACTGTGAATAATCAGTAAAGATAACTCACTTTGAGAAGTATGTCACTCTTGTATTACATCCATGAAGTCATTTCAGGTCCATAGCTTTCACCGATCAAAAGCATCTCCGATATTTTTTCATATTATTCCATGGCAAATATATGCGGAAGACATTTATATATAATTATATATATATATATATATATATATATATATATATATATATATATATATATATATATAATATATATATATAATCACACGTATCACTGAAAAAATTATATCAAGTCACTGTCACTCTAAGCTCGTGCCAAGAGAGTTGGGAGAGGATTGAGAGCGCGCGTGTGTGTGTGTGTGTGTGTGTGTGTATGTGTGAGGAGAGGAGAGGGACAAACCATGGGGGAGGGCGAGGGATGACTACAGGGAAGAGAAAGGGATGAACGATTGGGAGGGGAAAGGGACGAACGATAGGGAGGGGAAAGGGACGAACGATAGGGAGGGGAAAGGGACGAACCATAGGGAGGGGAAAGGGACGAACCATAGGGAGGGAAAAGGGACGAACCATAGGGAGGGGAAAGGGATGAACCATAGGGGGGGACACACCCTTTGGGGAAGGCCCTGGGAGAGGGTAGCAGCAGCGGCCATCACCAGCCACACACACTGGCGAGCCATCCTTCTGCGCTGGCCTTCACCTGCTTACTGACGCATTGAAGTCTCTCTTCACCCACACACGCCACTACTCTTCCTCCTCCCTCGCATACTTCCTCCCTCCCTCTCTCTCCCTCTCTTCCTCCCTCCCTCTCTCTCCCTCTCTGCCTCCCTCCCTCTCTCTCCCTCTCTGCCTCCCTCCTTCCCTTCCTGCCCGTCATTCTGTCTCTCCACTTTACTGCTTGCCTCCCTTCATACTTCCTACCTGCATAATTCTCTGCCTTCCTCACTTCATCTCTTTCTGCCTGCCTCCCTGCCTTTATATTTACTTCTCTTTCTCTGTGAGAGATGGATAATAGAAAAGAAACAAATATGATGGAAAGATGAAGGTAAACACGTTCTTTGCTTCCCCATATGCTCGAGGTATTTGCACGAGGATTTTCATCCTTCTCCCCCACAACAGTTGCCTCTGCGCCACTGACCATCTGTCGTTCTCAAAACTAAGATTCTTCATGAATAATGAACGATGGTTCTTCACGAATACTTGACGATAAACCTAGACAAAATTGTAACTCTATTTGAAAGCTGAATGAAGACCTGTTCAGAACTAACTATCGTTATGAATATTGAATGAAGACTTGAATAGAGTGACGCCTCTACGCTTGAATATATTCTCATGTGACTGCGTGTGTGATGTCACTTTAGTGACACTTAAGTGACATCACACATGTAGTCATTATATAGTCACACGCAGTCATTTAATTCACATATGATTCTGCACAATCTCCTCTCTCTTGACCAGTAAATATATTGAGAATACAGTCTTGGTCGTGCACCGTCGGTATACATAAGAACTTAAACATCTCATCCATACCGGGAGTCGATCTGGTGGTGTTTCCAACGCGAGACAAGATTCGTTACCGCAACGTCTCCCGAACTAAAGGTTTACTAATAGTTTTTAATTAGAAAGGCCCCAAAAAATTGCCGGGTTTTACAAGGGGTTGACCCTTTTTCTCGCAACCAGCAGACGGGAAGTTTTTTTCGACCCTCCACCACTTTTGCGTGAACAACCCAAAACTCAATATCATAAAATTATTTAAAGTCCCCCAAAAACATCACATTTTTATGCTAAAACTTCTTATTGCTCTTGGAAGAGCGGTAAAAACTTCCTTGCTTTGGGAAAGGGTTTGGGCCAGATGGAATCCCGGGAAACTTTTTATTTCACTCTAAAAAAATTACTCTCGCAAACGGGAAATTTTCTTTTTTCAGCAAAAAATTTATTTGTGAGGGTCCCCACACATTTGTTTTCTGGCCATCACACCCTTCGCTTTCCCACCCATCCAGCATATAAATTTGTCACTGGAATGCTCCCGTGAACTATCGAGACTTTGAAAAAACACGATTTTAAACATGCTATGTCTTTTGGGAAAATTAACGCACCTGGGAGGGGGAAAATTTTTTTTGGAAAAAACCGACGTTTCGTTCTTAAGTGAAATTTTATTTGTAAAAAATATTTCAGCCTCGGTATTTTTACTTTAGTTTTCCCAAAATTTTCCCTTTTTCCCCTGGAGTCCAGTATGAAAAAAAAAAATATTTTTAGAAGCATTCTCCCATCGGGCCTTCTTCCCATTCATCGGGTTTAAAAGGCCCCCGTTTCCTCCGTTCGCAAAATTCGAAAAATATACTTTAAATTTTAGTGAAGGGGGAAGGGAAATTTAAACCTCCAGAAAAATTCCCAAGTTTAAAACCCTTTTTGGTTATTGGCAGCCCGCAAATTGTGGACGAGGGTTGATCCTCCACAAATTCTTCACTAAATACAACTAATTTTTTGGGCACCCCCGAGATTTGAACGTTCATAACCGAACGTTTCCTCTTTTA